TGTGTAACTCAATGCGAATGACGGCTTGGTACACAAAGGAACGTGAGAGGTTGTTGTAAACCTATCTTTGCATTGATCTCTTGCCGTGTATCTCTCGTTCATTTCGTTCCTTTTTGTGCTGTGTCTGGTCCCTATGTAAAAACAATGATTTAATTATTGTTGTTATTTGAATGACATATACCACTATACCTAGTGACATATACCTAATGGCTAATACATCGTACTTCAACGATTTGTTTAAATCGGTGATTGTTACTATTGCATAATCGATATATTATTATATTTAATTAATTAAGAAAAAAAAAAAATATTAATAATAAAAATAATAACTGAACAAATCAACCTGCAGTAATATATGAATTATTATTTTATTATTATTATTTTCTGTTCTTGCCATGCAAGACAAGACATCGACAAATAATATTCAACATAATATGTATGGCTATAATTATATTGATACATCGAAAATCGACAAAAAAATGTCCGTATCACTGAACTTAATATTATCACGCAAGACAGGCAGACTCTATAGGAAAGTTTAAACAGTGTAAAAAACCCATTTATGAATGCCAAAATAAATTATATATTACTTATCGCATATATCTGTTGTAATAAATATAAAAACACATAGCTCAAACCTATGCGCTATATGGTTTAAAAAACAACCATAATATCATTATTTGAGCGTAAACTATATTTTTAAATCGAAATACTTGTAATGTTTGACTGTTATAAATGAAAACTGTATCCATAGAAATAAATGAAAAAAAAATATAAACGAAATTCGATATTAAAATGATCAAAGTGAGATTATGTGCTATCATCAATATTTATTACTGTATTTCTATATTACCATATTATATGACATAGAATTAATATGAAGTCATGTTGGAGCTCATAAATTTTACAGTTGTGCCATATAAGTTTGTACATAGTATGTACCTTAGTGGGTAAATAAAATAATTCACACATTTTGGATATTTGATGTACATTTATATTTACATTGTGAGCTCCTTCCTCCCCCCACCCCACCCCATCCCCATTACACTTACAAGGTTAGACGAACGTGGAAAGTTGTTGTTGAACTGTGTACCTACGTTTCCTAAAACTTTTCACGCTTACGCAGTGGCGTATTATTTACGGAGGCAGATGACGCAGATAGACCTGCCACCATGGCCCTCTCTGTTTCAAACGTCCCCACTTAGCTCCACGTCTAGACATTTTGATAAATATGTTGCATTGGCTTTCAATAAAAACAATACAGTTTCATAATAGTTTTATAATATCTGAGTACCCTCAAAGAATATGGGCATGATCATTTGTGTGCACATTTATCTCATTAGTGCTAGTCTTGTAAAAAACTTCAAAATTATTTTTTTTATTTATAAAGGTAACCCTCGGCAGCAAGGCCATCGGGAGATATGTATTAAAATTATTTTTAAATACGCAGAGGTACTCATATGCTTTTTCCGGGGTAAATAAATATTATATTTTTACATAATGTATTTTTTTATTTTTGACCTACGTGTTCGAAAACTACAAAAAAAATTATAAATTACTTGTTTATCTTTATACTTATGTAAATGCTTACGATTATGGGAACTATTTTTCATCGTTTTAATCTGACGGGATAATAAACAGCGAAAATTGTTCATGAAACCTTCAGGTTATAACATTATTTACCGGAAGAAATACTGAACAGGTTGAAAAAAATTGATACATTATGATTGCTTAACATGTAGTTCAAGTCTAAATATAATCACAAAAACCAAAACAACATCATATTATAAAAAGTTATTTATTGTAAACGATATATTTTAAAATTGCACCAATAAATATTAATTCATTCAAGCACTAACGTATTTATATTATGTTAAATCTCTGAGTGTTTTTTTTTCTCATAAAGTGAATAAAATACATTCATTTAATTTTAAATAGCTATTGATTGGTGGATTATATTTTTCTTTAATCTGTATCAATTATTTTTTGACAAGAAATCCATCTGAAAATCCTATCCTACCAATCCACACTTCCCCGGATTTAGCCCAACACTGTTCTGCGTCTCATTATATAGTTCTAATGAACTTTTTTCCGATTATAGTAAATTGGTGTGCCTTCATTGGATTTCTACAAGTTATTATTATTTTTGTAAAACGACTGCAAAAGGCGTTCTCGATTTGAATGCGAGTTCGACAGAGAGCACATAATATACGTATAATATATGTGACCAAGGTAGAAAACTGGTGGTTTACAATGAGTGCATTGTAGTAAGCAGGTGGTTTAAGTGAATGTTGACGGTGCTCCTTGTACTATAAAAAAATCTATATATAAACACATAGATTATGTTATATTATATATGTATGTATGTGTGTGTGTGTGTGTTTATAGTTTTATGTATCCACATGTATAAAGTAAAATATTTGAACAGCCGCTATAAAAAGAAAAAAAACTCGCAGACTCTTGAAGTAAATGAGCGAGAAAATAGTACACGCGAACCCTCGAAATGCGTTCGGGCACCAAAGCCATTTGTACGTAAACAAAATGAAAACTACTGTGTGTATATTACATGCTAAAAGTACGGGTAAAATATGACGTATCTTTTTCTCGGCAATACATTTGTCATTTGTGGACAGATTACGCACTCGAACGCGTATACGTTTTCTTATTTAGGTACCTGGTATACCAGCTGAGTACTCTGCTATAGCTTTTATAATTGGCTGCCGGCTGCAAATGTCGGGGCAATTATTTGGGGCATTCAAACGTCGTCAGAGAGACTAATACAGAGATTATTTGTATTTTTTTAACAAGTGAGAATCGCTCGTGATCCTCGACGACTGCATAAACGAGCTGCTGTTTGATCTAGAATCCTGTGTCCTGTTGTATAGGTAATGGCAAGACCCCAGTAGCAAGTATATTACATTATGATATTTATAGGCAAAGGATTTAATAATCCTTGCTGACTCGAGCGATGAACCCACCTATCGAGCTATGGCTGGTTTCACGTGACGTGTTGTGTTCAACGTCTTGATTTTTCAGATAACGTTAATTTTGTCGGGTGTATAAATAAAAGATAAACTCAAAACCGCTCTCTGATCTATTTCAGAATATTTCTCTGTGGTTTAGGATGCGACAGCAATATTAATGATGAAAAAATTACAGTTAAACATCTTAATTTTAACAAAATCATAATCGGGTAAAGACGACATGAGCTCCTCTATCTGCAGAAGCGTTATCCGAGTGTAGTCATGATTTAACAATGTTTGCATGTATGCATGAGTAAATAAACTCAAACAAGACGTGTTTCACATCACTCTAGCATCACAGTCTTTTTACACGAAAAATTGCTAAAATTTCTTTTGGTGGTAATAATATTACATGTATACTGTATAGGTCGTAACGCTTACAGTTAACGATACCATGAACATATGTATGTAGATTATAGTTATAATATATACTTTTATATACTTTTTGACTTAATTTAAAAATAAAATAAATCTTTAAGCCCTTCCTCGATGAACAGTATATTCACAATAATATCTATCTCGGGGGGTTTTCACTGGCTCAAGTTAGCTTATTCGTGGAAAACTGTACGTGGTTGCGAGTAATAAAATTATATGTCGAGGTTATAACGTGTGCAGTAGGTACCGTGATATGGTATATACCTGTAGAGTGGTATACATAGGTGTACCTATGTGTGCGGAATATGGATATTATTATACACTCTGATTAATATGCATATTCGGTATAATAATATGGTAATTGATTTGATTTCTATTTTGCCCAAATTTCATCCATGTTCCATACACACATCCACCTGTGCGTATTAAAAATCACTCAAAACCCGAACGGTTGTACCTATAGGTACAACAATTTAGTGGAAAAAATAAATAGTATCCACTCAACTGAAACAATATGCATATTATAATAATTAATCGTCCCGAATAGTATCGAAAATATATTCAACTGGTCAGACGTTTCAATATTTATGCGGTGTGAAATGGGTAATAATATTGACAATGTCCTTTTACTAATGTGTACATTGTTCGTCGAAAATGTATCTCTATTATCTGTAATTGATTAGACAACAATTAGTTATCCCGTCAATAAACGACCTGTTAATTTTGGATGTTCATACAAATTGTATCTGCCATCACCTACCTTCTTATTCAAAATGTAATAAAATATTTACCGTGACTCAATAATGTGATGAAGCAATTTTAGCCTCATCATTTAACACTGTATAAGGTGTCTATTCGATTCGCTTTTCTCACACTTCGTGATATTTATCAATCTAATGAGTTACTTTTAAAATCAACATTCCATACTAAATTAACTGCTATTATTAAATTTCTTCCGTCGTTTCGTTTAATCTTTTAGCTTTGCAATTTAAATACTGAATGCCTGACATTGTTTTAGCGATTCCGTTATTATTTTTTCATGAATTAATTGTTTTCGTTTTTAGACCTCATTAACAATTTTAAAATATAATCTTCATTAATTACATTATGTAAAATTGTCTAATAAAGTAACCGTATGAAATAACAAGAAAAAAAAACCTCAAAGAAAAAAAAATCTCAAAGAAAAAAAAAATATTTAAAAACTTCGTACGATGAGTATAATAATATTTGACACAATTATTCGAATGTCATAGTAGGCAATAGGCATTACATTATAACCGTGAATAATTCTATTATAAACATTTAATATATTTCGGTACACTAAACTAAACGTGAATAATGTACGTAAGAGTGCAATATTGAATTTAATTGGTTTATTTTCATATATTATAATAAAATAATATTAAATAATATTATATTCAAATACCTACATGGATACATAGCTATTGTTCATTTATTTGATCACATCCATTGTTTTATACTTCTATAATAATAATAATAATGAAATAATAATATGAAGTTATAAATTAGTATCAATTTAAGGTCCTTTCGAAAGCGATTAGTAATTTAGTATTTATATGAATTCATTTTATATTTTCACAGTTACCAACGTGATGACAGAATTATATTGGCAAACACAAAACTAGATTAATCAGCAGTTCATAATACTTGGTAAGTCATTTAAAATAAACTAATATTAATTCAATACTAATAAACCAATAACAATAGTATAAAATGTGTGTAACAAATAATTATGTGGTTTGTTTTTGTAAAAAATGTAAATGATTAACATTTGATTTTTTTTACTATTAACCAAGTTCTATAAGTTATAGTTAAATAATATTCTTATAGTTGTACAGTAATGAGATAAGTATTTATTTTGTATGTCATTTAAGTCGTTCAAAATTCATATCTCTTTTAGTTAAAACAAAAATATTTTGATGCGCTTAACCAGCTCTAAGTAATAACTTATTACATAAGTTATTCAAAATTGGATGATGAGCTTTTTTAAGGGAGAAAATAAAAGAAATCTATACATACAATTTGTATAATAAGTTATTTTGATATCAGAGAATGAATTATTTAATAGGTAAAGTATTGGTAAATACTAAATATGCCACATGAATAATAACCTTAATAGATGATTTTATTAATTTTTATCAAAAATACATTGCTTAATAATTAATAATCAATGTATCTGGAATGTTGTGGAAAAAATATGAGACCCTAGATTAAGAATAGTGATTTAAATTACCTGCGTAATAAATACAATTCATATTTTGTGAACGTAGGAATATGAATACTTATAATACTATAATTCACTAATTATTATTCAACATTGATACATACATAAAATTAGTATTTTTACATTAAATATATATTAATTTTTTTTTAATAAACAACTCAATTATTTTAGGAAACAAAATTAGTATAGAACGTCTTAAACGTGCTTTAAACCAAATTAGTATAATTTTTTTTTTATATATAATAAAATTTAACAGTTAATATTGACTATAATATTATATATAACACAAGTTTTTCGCATTAATTATTTTATAATTAAAACTATAATTGTTGAAACTAATGGTTTCAATAGTAAGTTAATTAAAAACATAACCCAATGGCCTATGTCACCGAGGGCTCCAAAAAAAAAAAAAAAAAATTAAAAACAAAAATGTATTATATAATTATATTATAAATAAATATTATTAAGTATAATATACATTCAATACTAATTTATTTAAATACAAAACAATATTAATACTTTTAAATATTAGCTTTCTTTTTCTGGAATTTATTGGATTCGAAATAATATGGTTGACATTCATTCATTTCATTTTTTGTACTTATCAAAAAAATATTTAAACCGCTAATTTATTTAGCATACAATATTTCCGCGTATACTGAAAATACTGGTCTTAAGTTTCGTTCATTTCTTTTTTTTCTTTTTGGAGGCAAAGTATTGCAAAAAATATTCATTTTATGCATGACCTCACTTGTAGCAAGATTTAAACTTTTCACATTATATAAAAACTAGTATGCACATTTATTATTTTCTTATGCACATTCATTGGTGCATACGTTACAAGGTAGGTGGTATGTATGAGTTACAGAAATAAGAAGTAATAGCTTTTTTATTTTGAAAGTTTAGCAGCAAGTATTTTAGTAATATAAAATATAAATACATAAATATCTTATGATAAAATATTATTCACATTATTATGTTTTTTTTTTAAAGACGTTCTGAAATATTAATCCTTTATTAATTTTTAAATTATAACACTAAGGCTGGGAGTACAATGGAAAATTAATTTCAATAAAGTATAAGTTATGACTTTTGAAATAATAGCATTAACAAAATTCTTAATAATTATTATTAAAAACCAGTGAACTCACTCTGCTGTGTTTCGAGTTTCGAGCGTCATCATCAAGTATTTGAGTCTTACTTAAACTATAGGTAATATATGTGCTGAATTATAATTCAATTATATATCAGTGTATTTGAAAAGTAATTCTGAGTGGATACTGGATACATAGGTTATTATATACACAATTAATAATTTATTTTTCTACTGGTAATACAATGGGTTCATGGATAAACTATTTTTTTCCAAAAACATAGTATTTTTTACATTATATTATATCATAACAGTGCTACAACTTATAACTTATTAGTTTATATCAATACCAACGTACCATACGTCCGTACAACGGTGTAAATGATTTCGTGATACATATAGCAAAAAAAAAAAAATAGCCTATTTAATTTTAGTAATTGCATTGTGTGTATAAGATGGAAATATTAAGACACCTAATGGCGAAAATTACAAGTCTATAAAGCCAATATTTTTTTAATTACAAAATAACTAAATTCGATAAAAGAAACATTAAAAAAAAAACATTCTAAAACCCTTAGAATCTAAAACTAATAATAGAAAACTCATAACTTTATTTTATAAAATGAACATGATGTCTTGGGTAAATGCAGTTATTATTTTGAATGAACCAAAATCATAATATTACTAATATTACTTAAATTACTTGTATTTATAAAAACTCAAACTGTTATTCAAATTGTCAGTACAGTAAAAATAAAAAATTAATTAATATTTAATCAAATTCAAGTTCAAACCATATATATTTAAACTAAAACTTAAGATAGTGGTAATATTACATTGTCCTCATGCCATCTCTTTTATTAATATTATGATAAAAATAGTAAATACTATAATTTATTGTTCAATAATGTAATTATTTGTATAATAATAGTAATATATTGTATAATATATCATCATTAAATATTTTACTGACCTCTTTATAAAAACCTACATCTTATAGTCCCCAAGTATGAAATACAATAAAATGTATCTAAATAGCCAACAATTATGCAGATATAACAAGTCTCGACTTGAAATCATTGTGTTCTAAAGACAACCTAAAGACAACTATAAACGAAACGCAGTTAAGATCATAATTACTGAGTTATTTTCAATATTGTTTGATTTTTATCTTGATTTTTACTTGAGCGACTAAAAACTACCGAAAAAACGGGATCGATGTGCCAACTAAGGATTTTATATGGTATTCTCGATAGAAAAAGTTGATAAGACATTTTATAACACTTCTTGAATTTTAGATAAGCTTGGTAATAAGTAATGACGCAATGAAATAACTTTTGAGTAAAAAAAATCAAAATGAAAACCTATCACTTTGAAACGATAACACTGTTACTCCCTTCATTAAGCACTTTAATTTATTAATATCATTAAATTTAGAAATTTAGGGTAGTAGGGTGTGATATTGTATTCATTCTCGTGTCAAGATTACGTAAATTACCGATTGCAACATGATGGTGGTGGGCCTGTATAAAATGATTGATACATAGACATAAGTACCGATATTATATCGATTTATGATAGTATATGTTCAATCTTTAAATCGTATAAAAAAGTTGCTGTATCCTGTATCAAACAAAGCTATGTGCGATAATGCTGTGACATTTTAAAGTGGATGTTTGTCTCTAATCCAATTGATCTTTGTTCGGATACCTTAACGGTCATGCGCCAAATACGATAAATGTGAACGACTGATTAAGATAGGTGGTAATCTTGTTTTCAGCTCGGAATAATAAAAAAAAAAGCATAGTCCAAAACCAAATCTCTGTGGTGGCAGATTCGGCTGACCATATCCCACCGACAGTTTTTAGGGATGAAAAAAAAACCCTACCGGTTATCATTCACGTGAAAATCTTCACTGCGACGAGAACGAGTAAGTATTATTTGTTCACGTCAGTGTCGGAATCTCCAAAGACAAGCGCAAAAGTTTTTGTTTAAAGTCAGGGTGCAATTTTTAATGGCTATATAAAGAGCGGGAAGCGTCGCGGTAATCTTGACCAACAGAATAATGCTGCTGCTGCTGCTGCTGCCGCCACTGCCACGATTACCGCTACTATACCATTACAACTACCACTACTACCACTACTACCACGACTACCACGAATACTACTACTACTACTACTACCACGCAACACCCGGGAGCTTAAAATCCCACCTCGGTGAGTGAAATATGGGCTAAGCGATGTGCGCTACAGGATTAACGGAGCGTAATTAATTGTGTTTGGAATTTACATCACCCTAAGGCGCCGTCATTTACAATCCGGTGTATCTTTTTTTTTTTTGCCATTCTTATTATATGCTCATCCCGTAGCTATATCCCGGGTCCAGGTCGAACTGGACTCGTTTAGCAGAAGAATACTCCACGAGCTCTATAGCAGTCGGATAGTAATGAATATCATCAAGGTGTGAGTAAGTAACGAGCACACATAACAATTAATGTCGACAACCTGAGGTACGTAGGTATATTATATCGTTCGGTTGAACGAGCGGGTGGCGGCGGTGGTGGTGAGGATAATTTATACGACTAATCATTCTTCGTTATAAAAGATAAGACCTGCAACAGTAACACGTAATTTTTCAACATATTTTACTGTCAAACACGTCAAAAATCACTCAGTGACTAATAAATCTTTAGTCTTGAATTTAAAAATGACTATCATAATATATTTACATTCATAATGCGATGTCTATACATCTATTAGTAAGGAAAAAACAAAAAGCTGCATTAAAAACTACTGTACCATAAATTCTACACATATATTTGAATAATGACACCAAAATATGCACTTTTAAAGAGCAGTCTTAACGATCCCTTCGCTATCGACTTAAAACCGTCTGGTACCTATAATTTAGTCACTGAGCACACGAGATTATTTTTACTCTGGCTGGGCTTCGGTGTGTCTTTAATAAATTCAATGTTTATTTCACGCAGGGCTATAATTCGTTAGAAAGTGAATAAAACTAAAAAACATCGCATAGCATTTAATCGTATATTGCAATATTACCTATGTACAGTATCTAATGCAATATATGAAATTAAAATATTTATACGAACCACAAGACTAAAAATATACTAAAACACAATATACCCGAACAATGTTCGAACTTAAAACTTAAAACTACTTTTACGTTATTAAAATTATTATTGTCTATTTTCATAACTTTAAAGTAAAATAATGTTTAATATATTGTAATGCCCATTGTCAGTCAAATACATAACTACCTATAGCATAAATCAATATTCGCTAATAATTATTAAAATCTGTAGAGTCAATT